ATGAACTCTAGGGATTGCCAAATGGCAAAGTTGGTCTCACTTTGAAAGTACAATGCAGGTGTTATTTTGTATTTGCTGGCCATGTCTGGACAGCAGGATAAATTGTGGGAGATGGAGCTTGGAAGCTTTTGCATTTTGATTAACTATGTTGTGTTGTCTCGAGCAGCAGGCTGCAGTTGCACTAATTATGTCTAACTTTCAACCAGCTAACTGCAGGCTGGGCTCTGAAGCTGACTTGATGAGTTTAGCTGTAATTCTGGATCCAAATGATGTAGCAAGGGATGGATAACTACACATGGAAGTGAAAGCCTCAGTTTCTCATTGACCACATGGGAAGAGACAGCATGCAAGCCTGAGGCTTGCTGCTGCTCATGCATACCATATTTAAGCCATGGTTTGGAGAAGTGACGTGAGCTCATGGTGTGTGAATGCATTCTCTAGTTTGAGCATGTATTGACAAGGTAATCTTTAAACAGCATATTTTAATTTAGCATAGATCTAAGATTGCAACTTAATTTGTTTCAGTTTATATCTTTCAATGCTTTAATAATCGGGTCAATCTTCAGGTATAGAATAGTAATTGCATTCCACTTTTTTGGAGAATAGTTTATTAGCTTTTATTTGCTCTAGTCTCCTTAATTATTTTAGTAGTGCTTAGCAAATGATTATTAACTCAGATGATATGCTGCAGGAAGAGCATGCTTATATTCCAGTTATGTCATATTAAGCTATGTATTTTATTAAATACATTTAGTCTTTTTTTAATAAAGGTTTTGTCCATCTTAGGTCTCATTTATTTTGGATTTAGGATTTCATAAGATTAGTGAGGGTGATAATTAGTTCACACAGAGGGAAGGTAATGACAGACGAAACAAAAGAAAGTAGTGTTAAAGTATATATGAGGTCACAGGACTAACACATTGAAAGAAGCAATTTATGACAGACCGAGTTCCATACAACTGATTGATACCTAACAGCATTCCCCACTTAGTGGTGTGGGGGTATCATTTGTTGGAAGCTTCTTATTTTTCCATGCTTGTAATTGCTTGGTTGAACTGACTTTTAATCTCATGTCAGCCATTCTAAATCCACTGCCATGCAGATGTTTGTGCTGTGGCTTCCAGAATCCCTGACCATTGAGGCTGGTGAGAATTGAAGTCCAAAGCATCTGATGATCACCAGGTTGATGTACAGTGCTCTCAGCTAAAGAAATAATGCCCCTAAGAGCAAACTTGAGGGTGATTGCCCATCTGTCTTTCCTCATTCATAAGTGAGGTCTGAGAACTGAGCAACTGGGTACTGTTCTCTGTCTCAATGGGTTCAGAGGCTGTTAGAGTAAAATGAGAGAAGGCACATTGAACTCTTTGGAGGAAAAGCAAGATGTAGATGCATCAGGTGAGTTAAGAGTGAGTGAAAACCAGCTGTGGCACAGCTTCTTCCCCCTCAGAATTGCCTCATTAAGAACAATTTCATCTGTTTATTGTAACATTTGTTATTTTATAAAGACTTGCTACTTGAATTCACTTGTTTTAATCCACCCTCTTAGTTCCCGTGGCAGGGCCTGTGTTTTTAAATAACTTCTACCCAGTGCTGTGGAGAGCTGTAGACACCTCACAGATAATAAGATTCCTGGACTGCACCACTTGAGATTACAGGTGTAGGCCTTGGATACTTCCTTATTAAGCTCCTTGCACACAGATAAGTACACAACAGGCTAACTCTTGTTGATATGCCAGTTATGTAATTGAAGGGAAGTTATTTCAAAGAATATGTTCATATGTGGTCCGTGTCTTGGAAAATTACTGTTTATTGTTGGTATGAAGAAGGCCTACCTCTGAGCTGGTGAAGTAAGAGCACAGTTATAGATTTTAAAATGAGCAGGTTTTGCTGCCGGTATAGAGTTGGCAAAATAAGGGATCCCTTTTAAACCATCATTTGCTATTGTTGACTCTTTCCCTCATGCCCGTATGTAATGCATGAAACTGATGGCAGCAGCTGTAGTTATATGGAAATTGAGTGTCTGGAGGAGCAGGTTCTTCCATTCTTTGAAGGCTCAATTTGCCTTGACAGGGAAGGTAATGAGTCACTCACATTATAGCTGAAGATGCAAAATCTCTGAAAATTTTGAGAATGTAGAAAAGCCTCGTTCAGTTTTTGGAAAACAGTGCAAACACTTGGGGAAATTGAAACACATGCAATAATTATTTATCAAACTTAAACTTATTTTACTACTATTGTAAAAGAAAATGCATTGATATAGTTAGTGTACAAAATTATGCTGTTCAGCATAGTTGTACCTTCTAAAAAGAAATTTTATAATTATATGATTTGTCTGTCTTTTAGAGTAATAACTCACCCAAGATAGTTGAGAGAAATGGTTCTTATGCATGCTTAAAACTCATTCTCTCTAATAAAGTTTCCTCCCATATATTATAAATTATATATTTAACATTATAAAATTTTGTTTTCTTCTAGCAAAATTGCAAAGTGCTCTGCCCTATATTGTTAACATAAGCACATAAGTCTTGGCTTTTGCTCTCTGTACAGTAGGAAAAAATAAAAGTTGAAAATAGAAACCACGTGTTTTTCCTAGACAAAAGAAAGTAGTGTTTGAATATAAACAGTTGTGCATTATTGTTGTATTAAAGATTAGAAGCATATTTGGATACCAGCTTAAACACTGAACTCCACAGAATATATTGTAATTATTCTCAAACAGTGTAGGTCTTCATACTATTAATTTTGAGTGATTAAAGCTTTGTTTAAGCATTTCACGCATTCAAAGGTACAATATTTCATTGGAGGTGAGAGGTTTTCAGCGTTCTCTAAAATGTCCATAATTTTTTCTGTTAGAACTTTGTTTTAAAAACTTTAGGGAAAATTAGGGGAGGGGGTGGAATGTGGCACCTTTTTTATGATGTTTTATCCTAGTGTTCCTCCCAGGTTTTCATATAAGTGTAGCTCATGCTTGCAAAAGGCACATCCCCTGTTAGACATAAGAATGCCCCCCATTTAGTCAAATAAACATTTGTTGCCCTAAAAGTCTGCTGGTTACCTTGAAATGTAAAAGTTGTGCTTCACCCTGCTTCTCTCTCTCTCTTCCAGAAAAAGAAGCAGCCTTGCCTCCAAATGCAACACAACTATGTTTTAATGGCTGTATGCGTAGGCTCACTCATATTTTCAACCTTAAACTTACTGTTCCTATAACAATAACAACAACTATCATCATCATCATCATCAACATCGATGCATTTTATTTCTGTCCTGCACTTCTCTTCCTCTCTATTTTATCCTCACAATAAAAACCCTGTGAGGTAGCTTAGTCTGAGAATCTGTGACTGGCCCAAAGTCACTCAACAAGCTTCATGAGTGAGGTTCAGAACCTGGATCTCCTGAGTCTCAGTCCACCATTCTAAACCAGTATACCACACTAGCACTCTCGACTTGAGAGACAAGGCAGACATGTGTGCAGGTGCTAATCAGCTGTTCTTTTTCCCCAACCCTATAACGAACAAAGAAAGGAAAGGCGGACTGGCAGATGTATTCATGACCACCTGTATTTCTGCACTAAGTATCTTGGTGGGGCTATAAGATGACTAGCAGCTATAGGTCCTTCAGGGTCCCAGTTGCAGGGAGGGTACGACAAGAAGCTATCCAAGCACTCAGCTGAGTTTTTCCAGACTCCTGTTCCCCATTCTGGACTCCCCCCACTGTCCCGAACAGTACACCACAACCCTCTTTGGTGGCAGTAGCCATAGCCCCACCTGTCTACTTCTTTGCTTCAGGAACAGCTCTGAAAAACATAAACCTCAACTCCTTCCAGCCTTAACCTGAAAGTATGAAGAAAGCCAGATGAGACCACTGGCACTGCCTTAGAGGTTAGCAATTCCCAGAATATCTTGCTATCTGCTTTGCTACTGCCCTTTTCCTCCTCTTCAGGGCCCAGAAAATAATAGCCAAAAAGTTCAGAAGGCAATTGCAGAGCTTCCCTAAGGTAAAGGAGAGGACAGGAGCAATGTGGAAAAAGCTCTGGGTAAGAGCCAAAGCATGCATGATTTGTTCAAGTGATGGGCAAGCAATCTTGTTTGTGACTTACGGCTCAATCTTAAGATGGGGAAAAAGCCCCACTTGGAGTTGTAGGGTTAGTCTGTGTGAAAATCATAAACAGGGTTATTGTACTAAATGCTAAGGCCAGAAGCTCATTTTCTTACTTAAGTACTTAGAGCCTCTTAGTTGTTTCCCACAGGCAAGTTATATGCCTAATCTTGGATTTCAAAGGAAAATCTTACAATTGTAACATCCTATAATTCTTCTAGTATTAGGGATTTTCTTCAGGGTTGGGTATGAAATATCTATATACCATTTCTCATCTAATTAAAAATATTTCGCCATTTCCCACCCAGTATTCATGGTCCCTCACTGTTTGAAATGTACATTGTTGTGTGTTTACTGTTTCCTCACTCTAAAATAGGTAGGCTAATATACGCATTGTGTCATAAGGTAGAAGTGCAGTTTCAGGGCCTTCCACTTAGTGATTTCTTAAGCTGTAAATTCTGTTATAATCTACTTTTTTGCGTAAGAGTTTCTTGATAGTCTTGTCTATGTGGAAGTGGTAGCAGCTATCCTTTCACCATGCCTTTGGTGCCACCATGCTCTCCGGTTTGCCCATGGAGAGAGATACTTGCTGAAGCTCCTAGCTCCCACTTGCACAGTCTGTAAAGGCACATGACAATGTGAACCTGCTGACATGGTTGATTCTGGAGCAGTTTTTGTCTACCCCTAGGTATGGCTTTGTTGAGTTTGATGATGTGCGTGATGCTGATGACGCTGTTTATGAGCTAAATGGCAAAGATCTTTGTGGGGAGCGTGTAATAGTTGAGCATGCCCGGGGCCCTCGCCGCGACAGCAGTTACGGTTCTGGACGCAGTAAGCACTCCCATACCATTGTATCGGTGACTTTTTTTCTATTTTAAAATACAGCATTTAAACAGTAATTTAAAGAAAAAAATGTAAAGTTTGACTATTGTTTTTTAAAATTAAAGTAATATTATTTAGTTGTTAAATGTTTTCAAATTTTTTAAATGTAATTAAGTAAATGAGTTTTAATTTTCATTATTTTATTTTGTCAATATATGAATGGTTTATTTGTAATGTGATTGTTTAACATAGACTTAACAAAGACCTCAATGTTTCAATTAAGAGTCCTTTGAGGCTAAGATGACTGCCTGTTCCATTTGCTGACCCTGGGTTGCCTTTCCATGAGTGGCTCTTTGACCTTTGTGGCCCTTGGCTGACCAAAAAAAGGAAGCCATGTGACGACCGCAACCTTTTCCCATTAGACCTGGGTGGTGAGGACCCCAAGGGTTAGAGACAGATGTGATTAAACTGAAATAGGTGCCTGAAAATCTTTATTCATATCAGATATTCAGAAAACTTTAAATCAATGTAAGTAACATTAGTAACTGCCTAAAGTGATTTGGTTATGTTGTTTTCAAAAATGTTAATTTCTTAAACTTAAATTAGTTGCATGTTCAATTTTAAAAGTAATTATAAAATATACAGTCTTGTAATTATGTGTTAATATTTAATTACATATATATAGGGACCTTTTTAATGTTTTGATATTAATATAAAAAATTAAATGTGGAGGATGTAGTTTTAGACTAATGGGTGGTGGGTGGATTAAATGTATTTACTGACAATTGGGTAGACTAGTTTTTATTTTATTTTTTTTTCGGGGGTGTAGATTAACCCCTGGCTCCACTACCTTGGCTGAAGTATTGCATCTGCTTATCGCCTCTAAAGGTGGATATGGTTATAGAAGAAGTGGACGAGATAAGTACGGTCCTCCGACCCGTACTGAATACAGATTGATCGTTGAAAATCTGTCAAGCCGTTGCAGTTGGCAGGATTTGAAGGTATGCAACCCCTGTGCCTCCGCCAATCACGATAAAGGTTTGGAAATGTAAATGTGGGTCTCTTAAGTCCAGCTCTTGCCCTAACCCTGTCCATAATTCCGCTACTGTTTGAACTCATAATGCGATGTACTAAGCACATTGTAGAAGAACGAGCAATGAACATGAGGCTTAAAGCCTATGCAGTTTTTTTATGATATGTGATTAAATATTTTACTACTTCTCAAGCTTTACACGCTTAAATACGGCAAAGTTGCTTTTGAAGTAATGCAGAGGCCTGAGAAGCTGCCTAAAACAACCAATTTGTTTAAAAATATTGAGAGATTATTTCCTCTGTTTCCTTGCTGCAGTGGCTTGCCCCCTGTTTAGCATTGGATCACTCCTTGTGAAGGCACTGGGCCAAATGGTGCTCTGCAGTGGCCTAGGCCTCTAGTCACAACTAGTTTTACAAGAGGGCCACTTTGAGGAGATGAAGGGTGATGGGCCAGACCTCCCCCATGCCCCAAACTGGGATGCAGAAGGATGTGCACAGAGAATGAGAGAGGTAAAAAGCTTCACTCTGCAAGTCTTTGTTGAATTGCTTGAGCTAAGTAAATGCCGAAGCAGAGATGATAAAATCTCATCCCCTTAGCATATGGTGTCTCCAAATTTCTAAACAGTATTCTTGTGTCAGAATTATTTTTTCTAAAATAAGGAATGTAGTATTTAATATAAACAGTTCTTGTGGACTATAATAAACATCTGGAGATAATCAATTTCTTGATTGTACAAAACTGCTCAAGAGAAGAAAATGAGGGGGATGGTTATGAATTGTGACTGCTCAGAGTTCACAAAATACAATACAAATAAAATTCTAACTTAGCCCAAAATAGTGAATGATTCTAGCACATGGAAGTTTAAGTAATAGTCCATATAAAGTCCCCTACCATAACAGAATAGAATGCCAGGCATTAGCACCAGATATTTTTATTTATTAATTTATTGGATTTATATCCTGCTTTTTTCTTATGAACTCAAAGCGGCTTAATCATTATCTTGCTCCTGTTCTCAACAACCCTGTGAGGTAGGTTGGGCTGAGAGTCTATGACTGGCCCAAAGTCACCCAGTTGGCTCCATGGCTGAGCAGGTCTAGAACCCAGATTGCCTGAGTCCCAGTCTCACATTCTTAACCCCTATACCACACTGGCTCTCAGGTTATGTTGCAGATTATAATGTTGCGTTAGTTGGAGTCCATGGTAACTTCAGACAGACTTGACAAGTAAAAGTGAGCATGATCTAAAGATCTGTAATACAAGAAGAAATGTGAAAAATGGGACGTTGGGAATGAGAGGTCCAGAGGATTTTTTTTCTGCTTTCCCTGTTGAAAAAAACTAAATTTGGGTGAGCTTAAAAAGCCTCTGTTGAATATTTTCTCTTTTGGAATGAGTGAAACACTTTCAAAGACAATGTTTTAGGTTTTTGATGCAAGTCAGACTAGAGAGTAATAATTCCTATGTATGCTGTAGGCAAATACAGTAAAATCTTAGATTTATTTCTGTACCTATAGGATGCTGCCATCTTCATGAGAAGAGCATGCAGGGTCTTCATTTTCTTACCTATTGTATGCTTTCTTGTGACATTTGAATCTAATAGGGAAATAAGAGAAACAAATATCCTGCATCTGCTTTTCCTTACGCAAAACCAAGGCAGCAGTCTAGTACACATGTGTCTGGGAGTCAGACTCATTGAACTCTTGTATATAGATACAGGATTGCATTTAAACTCCCACTGAGTGGTTCTTAATTCTAGATAAACATGCATAAGATATTTTCATACATTTAATAAATAGGCCAAATAAGATGCTTTATATACTGAATAATTAATAGTGCATTTCAGTCACAACAGTTGTTAAAACAGTTTTAAAAGTTTAGAGTGATAAGAAAGTAAGTATGACATGCAGTGAGGCTTTTCTGGTAGTGGGATAGCCAATTACTTTTACCCCTCACTTCAACATTTCCAGACTTCCATTTCCTCTAGACACAAAAACCTTGTTGAAGATAAACAATTCTGGGTCTAGTCAGTGCAGTTTGTCAGTCCGTGTCACCTTGAGTTTCATGATGGGAAAATGGTGGGATATAAATATAACAAATTAAAACGCAATACAGATGAGAAATTGTGCAGATTTTAAAATGCTACATGAATTAATAGTAATGTCAAGCTAGTTAATCTTGGTGGTAGTTCCATATACAAAAGTAATCTTTACTATCTCCATTTTCTCTTAAGAGTTTATATTTGCCTATGATGCAATCTTTCTTTTATTCTGAGTGTCTAGTCTTTGTGCCACCTGAATTTCTTAAACTTCTGTCTTTGTTTCCCACAAAGGCCTTTTGGTCTCTTTTTGTGGCCTTCTCCATCACATATTCATGCTTAACCTTTCTTCTCTACTAAATCAATCTGTCTTACATCTTTCCCATGATTGCTGGTGATTTAGCACTGTGTGCCTTATATTTTATACCACGATTTAGACTTGTTTTCTGCACAGTCATCTGCTTTGCTCTTTCTGCAAGCTGAATATTCTCATTTTTAGCAAAACTTTCAGTTGACCATGGCAACTAGAAATGTGTGTGTCTGAGAGTGAAGCAAGATGGCATTGGTAAACTAAACTGTTGCAGACACGCACGCGCACACACACGCACGCGCACACACAGAGCCCACTTTTCATTTGCAGCCTATAACAAGATGAGAACAGGCAGCATCAGAATGAAAGCATCAAGGTATTCAAACACATGCTCTGTCCTCTCCTAGGATTATATGCGTCAGGCAGGTGAAGTGACGTATGCTGACGCACACAAAGGGAGAAAAAATGAAGGTGTGATTGAGTTCAAATCCTATTCTGACATGAAAAGAGCCCTTGAAAAACTGGATGGGACAGAAGTAAATGGTAGAAAGATAAGGCTGGTAGAAGACAGGCCTGGGTCCAGGCGCCGCCGCTCATATTCCCGAAGTCGAACTCATTCAAGGTAGGTCTGTTCATAGCAAAATAGTTGGGTATATTGCTCTCACATGGATGACTTGTGGGATCCATGGCATGTTACAGATTGTGATGTTGTCTTCATAGTCTAGATTGCTTTCATGGAAATAGAGAAGGATTCAGATGTAATTCTGGACTATGGCTTTGGTGTGGCATGATTGGGCAGTCATTGCTTCAGGCTTATAGATGTTAAATCTCTGTGTCCTAGCTTAGCTGAAAGCACAATTTGGCTAGTTATTGTATTTGTGCTATCTGGAAGAATACATATGTGACAGCAAGGACATTCTTCTCCTGGCCTGGATTTTACCTGCTCTGCTTCCTGTTCTCATTTCGGGGGCGGGGGGGGGAGTATTTCTGGGGAGGGCTTGAAGCCAAGGTAGCCAGAACTACCTTGGCATAGTTCTGACATTGGCATAGGAGGAGGACTTGTCCATCAGTTGGGCGCCTGAGGGATGAGCTGTTGTGACAGAAGGAGCAACCTTGTCCTCCAGTGACTGGGACATTTTCTAATCCATGTCTGAATTTGGCATTGGGGAAAGAGTGGCTTTCAAGGGGAAGTTGCTTTCCAGGCAGAACATGGGGTAGATAAATCAAGTGCAGGTTGAGGAAGACAGGTCCTTCATTCAAGGATGGAAGGTCTGCATGTTGAAAGCCCATCCCAGGTAGACAACTTGCAAAGAGCTCGTGTGTTTGCAAGTTACCTTTGACCATGTAAACCATTCTGACAACTTTAGTGCTGAAAAGTGGAACTTTCTCAATAAATGGACTATGTTGTGCTCCTGTCTTCTCATCTTGGCCTGCCTGCAAGAGCACAGTTTGTGTAGGTTAGTTTGTTTGTTTGTGTTGAATAGTTTCTTCATAGTTTGTCCATTTAGAATCTAAATCCGGGATGCAGCCTTAGAAGGGCTGTAGCTGAGTCCCAGAGGACGTGCTTTGCCTGAAGAAGGTTTCAGTTTGAACATTTGGCATTTCCTGGTAGGTCTGGAAGAGCTAGATGTGCATCCTGCCTGAAGCCCTGCAGAGTTAAGTCCTGTTACAAGCTACATGGTCTAGTTGCCTGATTGACATAAGGCAGCTTCCTATGTTGGCGTTCACAGCTTCAAGAAAAAGCTACCTATGGTTTGACTGAAGCCACGATCAGAGGCATGGATTTGAACATGCATGGGAAACAGGGACACACAAATAAGCCACCTGGAGGCTTCTGGTTGCTCATTTATGTAAAATGAGTTTGATTTTGTATCTTAACCACTCCAGAGACGTGGGAGGCTTTACAGCTGTAGGACAGAAGAGCAGCAACAGGCCTGAAAGATGCAGATATGCAGGGCAGCTATGGACTAATTATATCCTCAGCATACTAGTCTATCCCCTCCTTAGTTTTCTCTATAAAAACTACTGCATAGGACATTTTTTGGACATTTTTGTTGTTTGTGCAGTACTTCTAACTGAATAGCAGCCTTTCAGAATTCCTTGATTTGTCTTGTGCTGTTAATCCAATACAGCAGGATATGAAGCAACACATGCAATCATATCTCCCCACAAGCCCTGCCACTACCTTGTTGCTTGAGTTAGATGAGGCCTTCTGCTTAGGTTGCGTTGCTAGCTAGACTTTCGTTCTATGAGCCTCCCTAGGGAGTTGGAGAGAAACACCAGTGAGGCCAAATTCTGCCCCAGTTGCCCCATAGCGTGTATCTTGGTAGGGCCAAAACGCAGTGCCAGCCTTTGGGCTTTATCGCAAGCGCTTACAGTTCCCCAAGCTTTGTGTTCTGGCACCCCCTTCTTACTGTGTTCCTCTTGCTCTTAGCGCAAAAGCAAGAAGGGAATATTGCAAGCTGACCCTTTTCTTGTGCCTGGGGAGGCTTTGGCAACTAAGAGATCCTTGTTTAGCAAAGTTTTAGAACCTTGGCCTATTTTCTGCAGTGCCCTCACAGCACCTAACAGATACATTTCGTTTTATACTTGGCTGATTAGTGATGACAAAGCAACTCGGGCAGCACGCTTCATCTGCTTCTGCTGACAAAGAATAGTGGGAGGAGAAGCTTTGTACCCCCTTAGTGAGTGGTGTTATGACTGGATAATCAGTTAAGCAGTACTCTTTCCTCCTCTGTGTTTTGTTTCATTTTGCTTTTGAAGGATTCTTGTAAACCTAAATCTGTCCTCTTCACTTGAACTGCTTGCATCTGTGCTTACAGCTCCTGTGTGTTTGTGTAGCACCTTCGGGGAGTGTAGGTTTCTTTCTCTGACATAGAGAAACTTGGCACAGATTGAGGGAGCTTGTACTGTTTTGTCCAGCTTTTTGGAAATACATAGAGAGCTGTAGCACCTAGACCATATTCCTTGGGAAGTAGCAGATACTTTCTACTCTTTTTATGCATTTGCTAGGCCATGTTCCATGATGGTCCCAAAACCCATAGAAACATAAATGCAGTAGCAATTTTTTTTCTTTTTACTTTCAGGTCTCGTTCTCGAAGCAGACACTCCCGTAAAAGCAGGAGCCGTAGTGGCAGTAGCAAAAGCAGTCATTCAAAGAGCAGATCACGATCCAGGTACAGAGAACTCACAATTGCTTAATAACCAAATATATTTAATGCAGAATCAGTGTTATTTAAGATTCATATTAGCAAGAATTCTGAGGTGTCTTGCTGCACACTTTCATCCATAATCTAAGGCAGTGGGTTCACAATTTTATCAAGCCCCTCTTCTGCTTTGTTGCAAAAAAATAACCAAGTTGCTTGTTGTACAGTCACTTTATAATACAGACAAATCAAAAGTTCCTGGTTATTAGGGTGGATATTTTTCTGTTTTGTTTGTCTTGGAAACCTAGACAACTGATGCTTTAAGGAAGTCACTTATTTTTCCAGAAATCCAGACCCTGGTAACATTCTAATTAGTATTAAAACCTAGTTTCTGATCTGTTGCTGTGGTTCTTTTGTTACCGCCTTTAGCAGGAAATACAAGTTGCTAACTGCTGTGAGTGTTGCTTAATATTTTAATACACAATTGAAGCTGCAGTTTGTAAATTGTGAGCAGGCACTGAATTTCTTACAGGTAAGTATGCAAGGAAGAACATACGAAGTATTTGAATCAGTTACTTCAGTTGTCAGACTTCATAACCTTATGTTTGAGTTTTGTAAAGTAGTCTCTTGAATTGCAGAGGCTGTATTTTAATACTGCCAATAATTACAAGAAAATTTATAGAGCTCCTATGCCATTTCTTTGTGCCTGTCAGGTCTGGATCCCATTCCAGAAGCAAGAGTCGCAGTCGAAGCAAAAGTCATAGCAGAGGCCAAAAGGAAAAAAGCAGGAGTCCAAGTAAAGATGATAAAAGCAGGAGCCGCAGCAGAAGTGCGGAGAAATCCCGAAGTAAAAGTAAAGACAAGGCAGAGGAAGTGGTTCAGAATGATGATGATGTCCGTGCAAAGAGCAGAAGTCCCAGCAAGGAAAAGAGTAAGAGTAAAAGCAGGAGTAGGAGTGGGAGTAAAGAGAGAGCAGAGGAGGAGGAGAGGGGGAGTGTGAGGGGCAATAGGAGTAAAGAGAGAGAAAAGAGTGCCAGCAAGGCCAGGAGCAGGAGCAAAGAGAGGAGCAGGAGCCGTAGCAAAGATAAGAGGAAAGGTAGGAAGAGAAGCAGGGAAGCGAGCAGGAGCAGGAGCAGAAGTCGCAGTAGGAGTGAGAGAAGCAAGAGGCGAAATAAACGCGACAGCAAGTCTAGCAACAAGAAGAAGAAAAGAGAAGACCAAGAGCATTCCAGGTCTAGGTCTAGATCCAGATCTCGCTCCAAGGAAAAGGAGCATATAAAAGCGGAACCGGACACGAAGGAAGTGAAAGGCGAGGGTGAGGAAATGGACACCAGTGGTCAATCCCGGTCAAGGTCAAACTCCAAGTCCAAAAATATCAAATCAGAATCTCGCTCCAGATCCAAATCGGTTTCAAAAACAAGGTCCCGATCCAAGTCTAGATCGAGGTCTGCCTCTAGATCACATTCCCGATCTAGATCAAGGTCTCGTTCCAGATCCTAAACTTGCTGCAACCACACTTAGAGCTCTATGAGAAGTCTTTTGTACATGTTTGGTAGTTGTAGCACAAGTGATTGGAGTAGAACACATGTCACTGCTGTACATTTTTAATACCCCCAATGGTGTGTCTGTATGTGTTCAGTCCAGTGCTCCCTCTCTGTTGCACGTTCTGGTGCTAGAGGCTGAGAACTTCATCTGAACACCGCACATCAATCTGGATTTCCAGAATAGCCATAGAGAATGAGCACTGCATTTTGATGGGCTTCTAAGATTGGAATGATGACTCCTAGGTAGGTATGGTAACTTCAACAATTTGCCCTTAAATTGATGCCCTTTGATGTATGCCATTTAGTGAAAAGTGCAAAGTCTTAAATTTCATATTACTTTTTCGTTTCATATTTTGGACTTGCAGAGTTTGTGAATAGCACAGTCAGGAAAATATATACCTACAGTAAACCATAGGAAGGGAAGGAAGAAAAAGTAGAGTTCCACATTCTGGTATTGTGACAATATCCTTGTTTTATATTTTTTTATTTTTCCCCGTCTTGCAAAGTACAGTGACCCCTGTTTCCATTAAATTTGAATAAAGACTATTTTTGCTTGACCACATGTTGTAATGGTTTTAAGTTATGCTCATTTGTCCCTTACAGAGATGCCTATGAGTCTCAAAAGCTTCGTCAGGAAAACTCGGGATAATAAGAAATGTTAAAATCATGGCACCTGTCTCTTTGGGCAGGATCTGCACCAAGCAGTACATGCCAACAGGTCATATTAGAAGGCTAGAGCAGGCACATGAGGTCATTGTAGGAAATCAGCAAGTGTTCTGTCTCCTAGTTATTAGTTCTAGTACAAAGCAAGGTCAGTCTTGTATAAGCCTAAGGTCTGCCTGCCTTGGTATATAAATAAGTGGGTGCTGCAAGGCACCCACATAGCTTGATCTCCATCAAAACAGCAAACTTCCTTGATACGCCCCACAATTATTTGACACCATTTTGAGAAAATTCACTAGCAGTGAACAATGCTAAAAAGCTGTTTACAGGCTTCCATGCTTAATCATACAGCATCAGGATAAGCAAGAATCATCTCTTGATGAGTATAATACAGCCAATATGGCAGGAGGCGTGTCAAGCATGGTCCCTGAAGCTTTTAGTGCACTTGTTGAAATGGAGCAGCTCTCAGGGGTATTTGATCTTATTTGTCGGTGAATGCATTGAATCGTACACGGACAGATTACTCAGTATACCATCAGAGAAGCAGCTGTTCCTACAGGCAGAGCCCTCTGCAAGCATTTTGATGACACAGCAGCTGGGAATGTGGAACGCCCAGACAATAAACTCCTCAAGCGTCAACCAATATGGTGTTTCCTTTTATTCATTAAAATATTTCTATGCCATCTTTCTGTCAATGGTGATCCACAATATAAAGGCTTTTTTATAGTGGTTACTCTCAGAACCACTATCACCATTATCACTGAGAATTCATGGAAGACAGGAGAAGTGCCAGATGACTGGAGAAGGGCTACTGTTGTCCCTGTATACAAGAAAGAAAAAGAGATGAACCTGAGAACTATAGACCAGTGGGTCTGACATCAATCCCTGGAAAAATTGTAGGGCAAATTATAAAACAGTCTCCAAGCACCTTGAAGACAATGCATAATTACTAGAAGCCAACATGGATTTCTCAAGACCAAATTCTGCCGGACTAATCTAATGTCACGTTTTTAACTGGGTAACCTCCCAAATGGACTGTGGGAATGCTGTGGACATAACCTATCGAAACTTGAGCAAAGCCTTCAACAAAGTGTTCCATGACATCCTGATTAGCTCACTCTTTGCTAGTTTGATAGTGTAACCATTAGGTGTATCCACAATTGGCTGCAGAAAGATAATTAAATTTGCAGATGCCACAAGGCTGGGCAGAATAGCAAATGCCCTGGAAGACAGAGATAAGATACAGGGTGATCTCCATAGGTTAGAATCCTGGGCAAGGAACAACAAAATGAAATTCGGTAGAGACAAATGCCAAGTCCTTCATTTAGGAACAAGAAACCAAATGCAGCACTACAAGATGGGGAATACTTGGCTCAACAAATAGTGCAAAGGAGAAGGATCTTGGGGTTACTGTAGATCATGACCTAAATAGGTGCCAACAATTTATAGGATTTTGCAACTTTTTGATGCAGTTGCAAAAAAGACAAATTTTATTTTGGACTGCATAGGCAGAAGTATCACTTCCAAAACATGTGAAGTACTAAGTTCTTCTATACTCAGTACGAGTCATATCTCACCTGGAGTACTGTGTCCAATTCTAGGCACCTAAGTTTAAGAAAGATGCAGAAAGGGTACAGAGGAGGGCAACAAAGATGATTCAGGGATGGGAGACAAAGCCCTATGAGGAAAGACTGAGAACTAGGCATATTCAGCCTCAAGAGGACTGAGGCGTGACACAATCACACTGCAAATCCCTGGAAGGCTGCCACAAAGGACAAGCTCTCTGTTCATTCATTTCAGATTGCAGGACACTGAGTAACGGATTTACATTAAACCGGATTTAGACTAGATATCAGGAAGAATTTCCTCCCTGTCAGAGCAGTATGACAGTACCTGTTACCTGGATAAGTAGTGTCTCCCTCATTAAACAACTTCAGACAGCATCTGGGCAATTATCTGAATAGAATTGTGTATCTTAATGATTGCAACAGCAGGGGGTTGGACCTGATGGCCTTCTGGTTCCTTCCAACTCTTCTATGATTCTAAAATATAGAATCAAACACCAGATTTTAATCCAGGAAATAATACAACTTAAAATGAACAAGAACAAATTAATACTCATTCTAACAGTCATAGAAAAACTAAGCCAAATAATGCCTTCACTAGTCAGCAGTGAAGGGCCCAATCTCATCTCTGAGAAGAGAATTCTATAGGTGGGATGCTCCCACAGAAAAAGCCCTATCCTGTGTTCCCACCAATCTCACCTCATTTAGTGATGGCTCATAGAGCAGTGATTTCCCTCTGTGCTCAGAGGATCTCGGCAAAGAGGGAAAACAGACAGAGCTGCTCTTTCCAGCTTCTCTGGGAAACATCAAAAGACTTATAATGGTGCAATCCTTTGCAGGTTTGGATTGGAAGAAGTTCTACAAGTTTTGATAAATGCCTGACTAGGGAATGCTTTGAGTGGTAGGACCCTCTTCCCTCTAAACATTCATAGGATTTAAAGAAGAAAACCATGTGAGAACCCCAAACCAGAAAATACAAATAGTTAACGAGATAGACTTTCCATACAAATATCTCTTTGGCTGCAGTTGCAGTAGTGGTTGTCCTGACTCTGTGAGCTTGACTTTTCTTTTAAAGGAAAAGTTCCTTTTTCATTTTAATTCTCCCCCACCCCCAAGGACAGAACAAAGCACTGATGGAAGCAGAGCAAAAAGGCTGGCCTGGTGCTTACCTGCTAATCCTCTGGATGTGTATGCCCTTCACATCAATGGAATTTTTAATCTCTCCAAAATTGAGGGTGAGATGAGAGCATGGAAAAAGGTAGACCTGCCTGAGTGCCCTAAAAAGTGTAGGGCACTTACACCTCCACCTCCAAGGGCCTCCACCTTTCTGCCTTTTATGCCATTCATGCTTTCACTTTCCTCCATTGCCACAAAGCAGTGAAATAAAGGACGGTATTAGCAGCGCCAATCTCCGAGCAGGATTTAGCACATAAAAGGCTTTGTTCATGTAAAGATTCCACAGAAGGGTTTTTTAAAAACCCACAATCATTTTCCTCTCTCTTGGCTCTTCTGCAATATGCAGCAAAGCTATTCAAAGCACCTTTCCCACCCACACAACTGCTCTCCTACAGGTTCATTTGGGTCCCCCGACAGAAGTTATCTGCATGCCCATGCCCTGTGCACAACTTTATTCTGTTCCAGGATTGCACTGAAATGATTTTGGATGCAAATTAATCTCTTTGATACTCAGAGCATCAGTCTGGCCTGGACCAAAAAAGAACCAGCTCTCCATTTTTTCCATTGAGGGGTTTGTCGGTCCAATAGTGATTCATTCACCTGGGTCCCACCCGGGTTCCTGCAGGACTGTCCAGTCTTTTCTCAGCATACACCCCCACTACTCATGAGTGGTGTTGGAGGAGGGCTGCTAGAGCATGGGACCCCGATTCTCTGAGCTGCCCCGATGGCCATGATCTCCCTCAGTACAAGCCTTTCCTCTGAACTTTATAGGTAATCACCTATAAAGCCCTTAATGGCTTGGGACCTGGATACCTATAGGAATGCCTGCGTCCATATTTGCCCTCCCGCCCCTTGAGATCTGCAACAGAGGCCCTCCTCCGGGAGAGATATCAGGAAGCAAAGTACCCGGAGGAGGGCCTTCTCTGCAGTGGCGCCCCATCTGTGGAATGCGCTCCCCAGAGAGGTCCGCCTGGCACCGTCGTTATTTGTTTTTCAGCACCAGGCTAAGACCTTTTTATTCAAACAATATTTTAACAATGTTTAATATTTATAGGTTTTAATTGTGCAGCCAGGGTGTTTCCGGGTTTTAATTGTATTTGTATCGTATTTATTTATTTCTGTGAGCCATCCCGAGGCTATATAGCAAGGGGATGGCATACAAAAACTTTAAACAAACAAACAAACAAACTCCGCAGCCCTGCCTTTAGTAGGAAGGTTTAGGATTCACTGTCTTAGTTGACAAATTGGGAATGTAGCATGAAGATCGTAGCCTTTAAACTAGAGGAAAGAGCGCCACCTTTCCTTCCACAGCTTGCTCATTTCAGTACTGAGTCCAGAGTTCAAAACTGTAGCAGCATTACTATCATCTGGCTTCAGAGTCCTGTCCAGACAATTGTGGCATTTGTGTCTTGAAGCATTATAGCCAGTGAGGCCTTGACAACTGGAAAAGCAGGCATCTTGGTTGCTCACTTATCAAACACGATGTGAGCCGTGCTTGTCTCTCATTTCCGCCAAGCTGGGCCAGACCCTTGGAGTAAGCAGAAGCTAGTCTGCTTACACAAAGACCTTGAGTGAACAGCAGTGTCTGAATTTGGGGCAAAGTAATGTATGAGTTTGCAGCTTGGCCTGACTTGATCACTACCTTGCGTGTGTGTGGAGCTCCTCAGATACACAGTCTGCTTTTTGGAGCGGACCTGCTTTTTGCATGATCCATGTGGCCGGATCCTGGTGGGTGCACAGTCCAGGGCTTTGCGCTAGAGTAAAATTAACAGATGTGGGAGGAAGATTGGCGCCTGTTACCAACGTTATATTCTTTTTGGTGCCGGGCCGAAAAAAAATTATTTTCTCATTATTTTAATGCTTAATTGATTTTAACTGGGGTTTTAGTACATTAATGGTCGGATGCTGTGAGGTTTGTTTTATTCTACTTAATTATTGTAAGCCGTCCCAAGGCGGGATAGAAACGCTTTTAATTAATAAATTATAAGATAGGGAGGCGCTTAACCTTTTTTGCCTTATGGCACCTTAAAGACTCACAAATTTGCTGTAGCATAATACACTCGCATGGACTGAAAACTGTACAGGAAGGTTTTGTAAAATGTTGCTTTCCTTGTAACTAGAAAAAAGGTGCTTGCAAAAGCAAAAGTACAGGC